AAATATCCTCTGCATACATTTGGGCGATAGGATCAAGGAAGCGTACAGCGTGCGAGGAGGCCAAGGCGACGCCTATCTAGTCCCTCGAGATGCGTTAAGGGATTTGTTGGCTTAAGAGCTGACCTCGGACGGCGGGTGCTGCATCAGAGGCACCGCGGGATAGGGTACCAGATCCTCTCTATACATATTTATATATACGGACGGGGGAAGGTGCATAACCATCTGAATTAAGGGGCAGCGAAGTTTCGTTCCAAGTTCAAGCCCGGCTGCATGGGTACTCTCAATGGCCTAGTGGTGAGACTACTAGCGGGTACCTAGAAGAGAGGTTGTGTTTCATTCGTGGCCGTAGACCAAAGACCCTTGCGTATGATTTCCAAATAACCTCCCGACCTCGCGGGAATCGGAGCGATAGGGCTGCCGAAGCGTACAGCCAACGAGGAGGCTAAAACTACGCTGACGAGTCCATCGAATGCGTGAGGAATGGTAGACGGGGGCGGATTTTTTTCGGTGGTAGCCGTCTGGGCTGCCTTTACCGAAGGCATGCTCTCCTCTATGGGGTGGTCAGAGATTTCCCTATCTAGGGAGTGCGTGGGAGACTTGGTCGATGCATTTCGACCCCTTTTGAGTATCCCTTTACGCGCGGCACACGGTTGAGTGCACGATGTTAACCCCTCGGAAGGGGCAAGCGGGAGAAGTCGGCAGAATGCTGCATGATGATGTGGACTTCTATGCCGAAACATGGAATAAGCAGATTTTCGGAGGTGAGTCGCTCCTAACATAAGAACCTAAACATGTGATAAGGCCTATGTGCCAGGTGCGCACGCTAAAGAAGCTCAATGTTAAAAGACATTGCGACCCCAGTGGGAAATACCACCGACCCATATGTCAACATTGATGTTATGACACAGGTGTAGAGCATAGGGCCATTTTGGGTATTAATCTCCAGCTGTTAGCAGAGAGCCTTCTATACCTCGCTCAAGCGATTTTGGCTATTTGGGTGTTTTAATAACGTATATTTTAAGTTCAATCGATTAGGATTCCCATTTTATCGCCAGGACTTTCTGACTCAGAAATTGAACCAAATACACATCAAAGCATTGAATAAATTTGTAACAAACAAAATTCAATCAATTAGAATTTACTACACTGAATGTTCTTAAAATAAGTAATTAAAGAATTAACTTGTAGTTTTTCAACACAATATTAATTGGTTTTTATTTATAAATTTATTTTAGATTTTATCGCATTAACTTCCCTATAATTTTTTCTTACAAAAGATTAAATGTAAAATTTACTTCCCTCTTTTTATGACTGTTACAAATTAGGATTTCACGTGTGGTGGAAAAGAATGGACTTGGGGCAGAATAAATTAAGCAATCTTACAATCTGATAAATAAAAACGCCTTTGAAATACTGTTCGCATGTTAATACACCGCGATACACATCATGTAATAAAATTGTTTATTTAGTAATAAAATGTACAAAATTAGATGTTAATTGTCAATTGATTTTACTCATACAACAGTTTATGTACGTCTATTTGCCAGACTTGACAGACTGACCGCTCAAAAGCCGTAACTGTACAGCGATAGCAGGCGGACCCAAAAAATATTCAAACTGGATAATACCAAACAAGTGAAACATTGAGAAAATTGAGTGTTTCGCTTTATCTGAGATGACATTTTATTAATTGATTTGTTTATTTATCAATGTTAAAAATTCATTTACCCCATCAATAAAATAAAAAGAAAAATTGCATGGCGCAACACGAATCTTGATTTTCTGGTAAAGACCGTTAAAAGAGGAGACAGTCGGCCATGAGCTGCCTCCCCAGAACAAAATAATAGCCGAATCAATTTTGGTTTAATTTATTGGAGAGAATTGCTGCCTTCCTCATCCGGCGCCCCTGCAGGCTAAATCACCGACGAGGGTCGCCAGTTTCTCACAACGATTTGGTCGGCGGCACACGACAATTTTTTTATGGAAAAAACGAGCAGACAAGCTATACAAATAAGGAAGGGATTTTGCAATTTCTACAGCCTATATGGAAAAAGTAAACCATTTTCCCAAGAACTGTGAAGATTTGAATTCATAGCCTATATTTTTGGATGGGTTGGAACATTTGAAACCATCATGGCACAGGAAAAGTAAGCCATTGAGGGCATGCCATTGGCCCAGTATGTGGAGCCGAGACGTGTCACGGTGCCCAGCTTGGTGACCAATGCATTGGCCTGTCATGGTCCATAGTGTAGAGGGGCCATTAGAAGAAGATTAAAACCCGTCCTACATAGTAAAATAGAAAATAATAAATATAACATTCAGCCTGATAATATAGGCTTAAGTTCAATTTATGAAGGACTTATTAATTTTAAAAAGAGTCGGTTTTTAATAACGGGAGGAGAGTCTCCAGCATAAGGTTCAATAGTCCTTGGCAATTTTGGAACTGAGCCTGTCTTCAAAGAAGTTTGAAATAATCTATTAAAAAATTAATTATGTCAATTTGTAGGCATCTTTAAGATTGTTTTGCCATGACGATGACCTTAAAATATCTCGAAAGCTAGGCAGATAACAATTGAATTTGTTTTTTCATCCAGACCAACCGAAGATTATTCGTGAATAAAAAAGTGGTCGATACATCTATCACTTTAAACAAAAATATTGTTTTCTACAATGTATTAGTATATATTTATATTAGTTTAGACAACTGCTCTTTGATTGGATCCAATTGACTATACATATTATGCTGGACCATGGACAATGTCACTGCTGCATATTTTAACGATGTACTGATGTATTTTAAGCCAAACATAGTTTTATACTTCATTTCATCCAATTTTCTTTAATCTACACTCCCAAACAGTTATTTTCACATATTTTCAAGGTTTTTACCGTTATCGCAGCATTTTACGACAAACGTCTTCACGATAACGGCAATGATTATATTCAGCAATGACAGCGTATACAATTTTTCAAGTATTCAAACAAGATGTTTTCCCAAAATCTGAGGATAGACTGTTCTGTTGATTATCACAGTCGTCTTCAGATGGTACTACTTTCTAGGAGGATCGTTATTACTTTAATATTGACCCTACTTGTTGCAAGTACACGTGTTACCAGATCCTGTCTGTATATATTTATATATACCAACGGGGAAGGGTGCATAACCATATGAACTACGGGGCAGCGTATTTTCGTTCCAAGTTCAAGCCCGGGGTAAGGACTCGCAATGGCCTAGTGGTGGGATCCCTAGAGGGTACCTAGAGAAGAGGTTGTGTTTCATTCGTGGCCGTGGACCGTTGCGCATGACCTCCGAATTACCTCCCGACCTCGTGGGAATCAGACGGATCGGACTGCCGAGAGCGTATAGCCAACGAGGAGCTATGACTATGCTGCCGGCGTCCCTCGAATGCGTGAGGAATGGTGGACGGGGTGTTTGTCGGTAACTGACCTTTGAGTTGCCTTTACCGTAGCATGGTACTCCTCTAGGGGGTGGTTAGAGATTCCACTTAAATCGAAACCGCGGCCTGAGCGGATCCGGAGATTCGACCCTAGCGGAGCCCCTACACCCAGGGAGATAGAGTTGTCTTCTCTATCTAGGGTGTGCGTTGGGAGACTTGGCTGATGCATTTCTGCCCCTTTTGTCCGTTCCCATTACGCTCGGCACTGGTTGAGTACTCAATGTTAACCCCCCCCCCTTGGAAGGGACAGCGGGAGAAGTCAGCGTGTCTGTCAATTAATCTGTGGATTTGCGGGCTTCTACACCGGACCTCACGGAATAAGCAGACTTTCCGTGCGCGGAGGTGAGTCGCTCCTAACTTGAGAACTTAGACGTGTGATAGGCCTATGTGCCAGGTGCGCACGCTAAAGAACCTCAATGTTAAATGACATTGCGACCCTGGGAAACATACACTTCTTGCAAGTAGTACGTTTGTAGTTTGGATATTTCGCCATGTTTAGTAGTGCGTTGTTTTATATTTTGCTGTTTATATTTTTGTGTTTTTTTTTAAATTTAACTTTCCTTTAAGGAAAGCTAATTTATGGCCTTACGTTAATATTTTTGTGTTATTATGGGATGATTTTGCTCACTAGTCGTTTATAATTATATACTGTACTTACTCCTTGATACAAGTGATGATTGACTGATGCCGATTTTGGTGTCCATGTTCCCATTGAATTCGTCTGTCTTGTTTTTTCTGGCCCTCCTTCAGTTTTCCTCCCTGGAAACAATTCAAATTCAATAAACCAAATATAAAAATCACGTCGAGAATTTAGTTTATGGTGTCAAGTCAGCGGAAAGCTGTGGGTAAACGTATTCTGCGGTTTCATCGAAACCGGCAATTTCCGCCTGTTTATCGTTTCTAGTTTTGGACCAAATCCAGGTTTCAGATATTCCGATGGCGATTTATCGAGTAACCCTGCATAATCCAGCCTGTTAGATAGACTGAGAGCTAATAGACAGTCTCAACAGGACTTGATCAACGAGTGGCGGAAAAAAGGGACAAGCCGTGAAAATTGTGAAATATGATGAGGCTGTTGAAGAGTTGACGCACTTGGAAAATATCAAAACCATCAATATCAATCAGAAGAAACCGTCAGACAGAAGATTGGCCGGTGAAGATAAATTCCCAGGATTTTCGTTGTGAAGAAGGTTAAAATTAAAAAAATTAACAAACAAATAGGTTGAAACTTGCACATCAATTAATCTCATGTTATTAATCTTATTTATCATTATTTAGCATGATTTATGGCCGAATTGTGATATTTGTTTTGAACGTAAATATTAACGAGTGCTTGGGGATTAATCTTTCATTGATCACTGTGAAACAAGTGTAGAAAATGTCTCGTACCTGGCATAAATCAATACATGTTAATAATGTTAAACATATCGGACAATAAAAATAAATACAACAACTATAGCGACGTACCGGTCCATCGAGGGTGCGTAGATTGTCCCTTGGGATTATTATCTTTATCGTTTAATCGGTTTATTGTTTAACTGCTTATTTGGTTATCTGTAAGACGCGATACGTCAATCCACCAGACGCAAATAAGGAAACAAGGGCAAAAACTAATTTCAACCGCGACACAAGCGACCTTACGTTCAACGGGGTTTTATTATATTCCACAATCCGTCTGGCCGATATTCGGATCACGTATGACACTTCGCAAGGTTGCGGGTTGGGATATTTTTACAGTTTTGTCGCTGTGTCGGCCTTTTTAACACCTGAATTCACCGGAGGATGATGAAAAAGCCGACACAGGAAACAACTTTTCCCACTCGAACCAACAATCAATACGTTTCTTCCTATGGAGTTTGAATTTTCAACATATTCTTCATATCAGTACGTGTGTTATATTAATAACTTAAAATAGGAAAATATATCTATAATTTTTTCAAATAGAGTTAGATTTCAAGCTTATTCTTGATAATCTATACATGTATGAACTGTACTGCATATAATTATTGAGGAAAAATTTTTAAATACACTGAATTGGCCATAAAACTCAAGGTTCGTTTATCTGAAGAATTAAATTGATAAAATTCTAGATATATAGAGTTAGATGTCAAGCTTATTCTTGATTACGTATATATGTATTGACTGTATTTTGCAAGTTCCGGGTTTTTTTAAGTGAAAAATACAGAATATTTCGTTAAACGATTGAAATTTTGTTAATAAAGGCCTCAAGAAACTAAAGCTCACAAACCTATCAAGTCTTGCATACTATTTAAAGTTTATATGGATATAATGATTAAAAAAACTATTTAAAGTGTAAGTAATACAATTTCTATATATAATTAATTATTAAGAAAAGTTTTTCCTTAGTACATTAAAACAAAGCACCCCGTACAAAATAAAACTCTGAATTTTCTTTGTTTTTGCAAAGAAATTATAACAGGCCAAAAGTTTTGCTTGTTCCGTTTTTGAGACATAAGAGGAGAATTTTTCTACAATTCTACGGACACAATTCGAAAATAATTGGACGAAAAAGACACAAACCTTTGCGAATAATCCCTGCCCCGAGCTGACCAGCCCAGTCTCGAATGAAGAAGAGATCCCGTCAAATATCCTATCAAAAGATCGACTAATTAATTAACCGATTAACAAGAATAAGGCCGATAATATTGTTTAAAAAAAGAGTCGAACGGGAAATTCAAGAAGCACACACTTCAGAAGTCATGCGAATACTACAGTCGTCGTGCCGGAACCTGATCGAGTAGGGGACTTCGCGTTCGTCCTTGGGAAAAGACAAAGGTACTTATCGCAATTATCTCAAATTCGTCAGGATAGTGATACTTGAAAGGTAGAGAAAAACTACGTTATCTCTAGATAGGGAGAGAGAAAAATTAGGACGGTGAACAATTTCCATGACTATCTCCGAACCCCGGATTCCTAATGGATTATGTAAAAATTTCATACATCTCATTCCAACGTCATTTTAAGGTTAGTTCGCTAAGAAAATTTCTTCTAAATAAATCCTATTATTTTCGCACTATCTACTATCACAAAATTATATCAGAATTCATTTTTAAGATTTTTTCATTTTGAAGACGTCACAGCTCGTTATTGAAACTTGATCAGAAAAAACAGGTTAATGGAATTTTATTATTGATAGATAACTGAATTGATCTCAAGTTCACTGTTATTTTATTAGATTTCACCTCTATGCCAGGTTGCGCAGGGCAGAAATCAATAGGAATGAATCCAGGGTACCGAATTCAAAGGTCGCAAAGGTTCAATTTGACCTAAGGTATAATTAAACCGTTTTATTACATTTAAGCTTTTCGAAAAATGATTGGAATTTGCCAGTAATATGTGTCAAGGTTAAACAATCTTGATAGTAGATGAGAACAACTGGAATCAAACTTTAGACAAATTTGTTTATTGTTGTATAATTTTTGGGATGGGAAGAGATTTATAATTTATTGTAGAGTTTGGTTTCACTTCATCCTCAATGGGCAGCTCCCTTTAAGTAGTCTTCTTTGATAAATTGGGCCGCCCTTTCAGCAATCATGATGACTGGGGCGTTCGTGTTTCCTCCTGTTATCACCGGCATCACCGAGGCGTCCACGATCCTCATTCCTAAGAAATGACGCGTTATAAAATAAAGGCGCATTCGCTGTACGTCAGTCATACCTTTGAGCCCGAATGGCCTCAGCCTTCCATCGACCACCGCGTTCGGATCGCCTTGCTGTCCCATCCTGCACGTCCCTATCGGCACACCATCGTCATGGATAATTTCACATTGATTATGAACAAGTTAATAGAAAATAGACCAACCGACGGGATGGAAGATAGTCGTGGTGTAATACTCGACCATACATTCGATGAACTCTTCGGAAAGAACGGTGAAATTCGTGCAGGCGGTGTAAAATTCGGAATAGAAGGTGGAGTTGAATCGTCCCATGGCTGAGGTCGCGCCGACGGCTAGGGTATATTTAACGCCTTGTATGGCCGTCTGGAAATCAGTTTCGACTTCGAAGTACCTCGGGTCCATTAAAGGCATCTGTGTCGGATCCGTCGACGCGAGTCTCACCGTTCCACGGCTCAGAGGGTGCAACACCTGCGCCAGGCCGAACCTTAAAAACCATCAGATCAAGAAAAATGACAAAGGCGATAAAACTGCGACAGAGATTTTACCACACTTGCAGGTTGTTTTCGAAGTTGGGATAAGCCGAGGTGAGATGGATCTCAATGTCCGGATAGTCCAAACTAGCGTCGTAAAATGTGGAATTGAGGAAAGCGAGAGCCTCTATGCCGTTCGGCGAGCTCAGAGGACCCTGGCCATTTCTGGCATAGGCGAGTATAGAATCGATAGACATGTAATAGTCTCTTGTCATGGAGACGCTCTCGTTCACCCTGAAGATCACCGGGGTGCCGAGGTGGTCGTGCAGGTTGCTCCCTATCCCGGGAACGTCTAGAACAAGTGGAATCCCCAGAGATGCAAGGTGATCACTCGGTCCGACGCCACTCAGCATTAAAATCTGTACAGACAAATTTTGTATTGGCGTGTTAAAATAACTCTGTCCGAATAGAACGATACTTTCGCAATTCGTTATGTTGGCGAGTTTGATTCGACTTGTATCTTATAGATAGTAGATGTATAAGTTCGTTTTGCCTAATGTACTGGACTTTAGAAAACAACGAAATGTACCAATAGATGCGACACACGAATACTTCGGACCTTCTAGTAGATGTATCATTATGTATTACTGTTGTTCCAAACGTTGGAAGTTACGTCCTCCTTTATGATAGGAATTACTTTACTAAATATTGAGAACCCGAATGTTCCAAAACCATACGTGTTTTTCAAAAACGACTATTTTTTTGTTAATGTTTTGTTTTCTTTACATATTGATTTAGAAATCTTTAAACTCCCTTCTTTATTAGCATCGTTCGTGTAACATAGGTGGGAAAAATTGTCTGGTTTTCCTTTAAACTCAACGCATATGTCAGAATTATGTAGATACTGGAAAATGCCATAAATTTGAAACCTTATGTGGGTTCCTAATCAGTCTTCTCAAGAAAATCTCGCAATGTTATTAAAATTTAACAGTAATTTATGTAAATTGCACGCTATTTTTTTTTCAGTTGATGTGCAACTTGTAAATACCTGCGGTGTATTTAGGCTTCCGGCGCTCATGATGACCTCGTTTTTGGCCCTTACCGTCATCGCCTCCCCGTTCCTCGTGAATTCGACGCCGACTGCACGGTTACCGTCGAAAACCACCCTAGTGACCAACGACCCGAGGGCGACGTGGAGATTCGGCCGGTGACGCGCAGGACGCATGTACGCCTTGGCTGTGGAACACCTGGAATCGCAGACAGGGCGAGAATGGAAAATCAAGCGGATAACTCATCTGCTGATACCTTGAACCGTCTCTCAGCGTGCCCTCCGTCACCATGAAGCCAGTTTGCCTTTCAGCGTTGACATCCCTCACTTGATAGCCGAGTTCCACTCCCGCCTTCAAGTATTGCCTCATCAGTGGTGACTCGTATGCCGGCATGCTTACGGTCAGGGGCCCGCCAGTTCGATGGTAACGAGTGTCCGATGAAAAAATCGGATTTCTGCAGTTCAACAATATATATAACCGAGATTGAAAGGAACTTAAGTCATTATAATGTAAAATAGAAAATTTCTAGATTTAGTTCAACAAAAATCAACTAGCTTAGAAGAAATCAGATATTAAGCAATGAAAAGGTTTCGGTAGTTAGTTCATTTTCATTCGTATAGTTGCTGGTATAACCATTGAAGGTACTAAAATGATCGTAAACGACCAAATTACAGATCCGTCACCCCGCTGACCACATAAGTTCTTTTCTAGCCCTTTTCCTACCATTTTGTTCTACCAGCATTCTTCAGTGGAAAGTTTCCCTGTTATGTTGTTAGTTGTGGCAGGAAAGGTAGGCTGATCAAATGACCGGGAACGACCTTGCTACAAGTTCATGACCCCTCAGGTCCTACTCTAAATTACACAAAACTTCTCTAACGTTTTATAGTACCTATTGTCCTCTGATAACATGAAATAAGGCAGGACTTCTTCGTAGGACCATCCGCCGCCTGTGAAGTTGTTCCACGCTTCGTAATCCAGGCGGTTCCCCCTGATGTAAATCATGAAGTTCATTGTGGAAGAACCGCCGAGCACCCTACCACGCGGCCATTCGCACGTTCCTCCAGTCACTTGACATAAAACAATGAAATAAAGTAATAAAATAATAAATAAGTGAAAATTTGACATACGCAAGCACGCCCTCCTCTGAGGCGTGGTCGTGTAATTCCAGTCGATTTTCGTCCTCCAGAGGGAGTATGCGAAAAGAGGAGTGTCCGAAATGAAATTTTCGTCCGGACCGACTTCCAAGAGAAGGACGGTGAAGTTGGGGTTTTCCGTCAGTCTGTTAGCCAAAACACAACCTGTCATCAAAAAACCGAAATTGCATCATCCACAGCACATTTATTATTAGAAAATTACGCCCATTTAAAACCCAGATTAACCGGTTTGAGTAATCCGAATAACGTAATGGAATAAGAGGACGGTATGTCCATTTGTTCTAATGAATATTTGTCTTAGTGGACAAATAGCTATGTTTTTACCTATTTGCTCATTAACATTGTTTATCTATTAACTTACAAATAAAGAGCTTGTTAATCTAACAAAATTGTACGATTTGTATTTGTCTTAAGCAAACCTTACAGTGTACGGAAAAATGGATATTGCAATTTTTCAGATTTTCAGGTTTCAGGGTGTTTCCGTGAAGAATTTACCTGCTGAACCTCCTCCGACTATGACGAAGTCGTACTCTCCCTTGATCGCGCCGCTCGGGATGTTGGTCACCCTCATAGACGGGTCGACGTTGGGGTAGTTGTAGAGCGTGATGGCCCCGAGGAGGACCGTCAGATAGACGTAGACGTCCGGGGACATGCTCGATCGCCGACAGGGAAAACGGCCCGACACCCCGAGGAATATGAAATAGAACCGGGACTGGAATTTGAATAAAATATGCAAAATTTATGTATCTGACACAATTCGCCTCATAGACGAGAGATAAACTTGAATTATGGATTCAGTGATTTTTTTCTCAAGGTGTTGTCTTTAAATCCTGACTTGGTTGGCTCTATCTTGAGCTTCAATCTAGTCAAAAAGTATGCTTAAAGCAGAAGTACGATTCGTTGCAAAATTATTATTGTGAAATTCCATCTTGGGGATGGAAGGATGATGGGCATCTTACTTGATCGTTTTCGATAATTTCTGCTTTTATTTCCTCGTTGTTCTTGTCTAAGTAATGGTCACTACGACTCACAAATTAACAAACTAACTACTGAAAATCGCGAAAAACCTGAAACCCGTCTGGCCAGCATGGTAGAACCAAATGACATTGCTCATGAAGGATTGCTAACAAATATTTAATTTAATTATAAAATGGGACGTAATGTTGATTTGCTGCAGGTATCCCTTTTGCAGAGAAAGGTTGCTCGGCGTATCTCACATAATAGTGTCATGCTCCATACAGAGAGGTGTAGGCATGCCATCGGATTATCGTCCCTCCAACAGTGTGTGTGTGTGTGTGTGTGTGTGTGTGTGTGTGTGTGTGTGTGTGTGTGTGTGTGTGTGTGTGTGTGTGTGTTTAGGATCGATGGCGGAATATTTATAAAAGTACCCCATCGACCCTAATTTAGATTAGATTATTAATAGTGTGTTTGGTCGACGGAGGAATATCCAGTATTCTACCGACTAATCAGAATTAGTGCAACGCATGAAGGTATTTATTTGTGCGACTGACTTATGGAATTTAATTATCATTAGGCTAGATTATAGTTTGCGTGTGTTTGTGGTTGAAATGACCTAGCTATCGATAGCCCCCGTCGGAGCCTAACCCCGTTGGTAGGGAAACATCTCCTGGGCATTTGACCCAGCCACATAACTGGATGAACTTAAATAGGAAGTTAATGGAGAGTTAGCTGGAGGCAGTTCCTTCAATTCTTAACTGTTGTCGATATCGTTATTCCAGCCCGAAAGAAGCCGGAAGAGGTCTCTCGCTGGATCTGTGTTAGGCCCGCTATTTTCGAATTTGCTCTTCAATAGTCTCCTTGAAATCATGAAGGAAATAGGGATAGACTTTGTGATTTTCGTCAACGACTGCAACCATCATTGAAACGATACTAAAAAAGAGGAGGAAGAAAAGTCCGATAGTAATAGGCAAAATAGTCAAATAGTTCATTGAGATGAAACTCAAAATATCGCTTGAGAAGTGCGATAGCTCATGCTTGAAGGTAAACTTACTATTTTTCATGCTGTCAAGTAGAAGTAAAGTCGATAAAACCAAGCGATGAAGTTAAATATCTAGAGATAGGGACACATTCTCCATTGCAAAAGCGACTTGGAGGCTGATAGTAAAAGCTCTTGCGATGGCTTTATAGAACGTATACCTATCGTTAGCACCATAGAAGTGCAGCTTGGGGACCAAAGTTAAAAAATCGGAGCAAAAGTATCCAGGTACAAAGTCAGAGGATAGCCTTGCTAAGAAGTACCAAAGCTAACAGGACGACATCGACCCCCCCCCCCCCCCCGAGTAATCATCTTTGCCCAGCCGATTGACATAATCCTCCAAAGCAAAGTTGCCATCAGGCGAATTAAAATGGGACAACGGCCACACCTACAAGCTGGAAAGGCTGAGGAACGTCCCAGAAAGACCTCTTGATTCATAAAATCGGATTGACGCTGCGTGGCAAAGCAGATGGCAAAAGAGTACTAAGGAAGAGTTACCCAAGTCCTCCAGATTTTTGGGCTACGCAAATCTTGACTTCCTGGCATACCACTTTAAATTCAAACCTTGGAGAGTTGCTTAAAACAAGCTACGAAAATGCATTGAAAAATAACATTGCGAGACTTTCTCTTGGGTCTGCGAGGTTGATGGACCTGTTTCTTGGTGATTTCAGGTCGATTTAATCTGCCTATCTTTGCGATTTTCTCTTTAAGTAAGAAATCAGAAGTTTGGTCACCAAGACTCACAAAATAACAAACAAGACAACCACTGAATTCCTCGAAAAGTCTGAAAAGCTTCTGAGCAGTCTGGTAGACCGCAATGATCGGAAATATCTTTACTCATAAAGGACCTTATTTTGGTTAATAATGGGATTTCTTCATATGGACTGCTGGGTGGCGGTCCTGCTGTTTGATAGTTTCTGATCATTTTGTTTTTCCTTTCCTCATTGTTTTGATTTTTCAGTGATAAATTTGATCGCCACGAGTGACAAAATAACAACCAACATGAAGGCTGCCCAAAACATGAAGCGCTTCTGGAAATGGCCTTCCTCATAAAGGACCTTATTTTGGTTTGTGATATTTCCTCATGGGTCTGCGAGGACTGCAGTTTTGTCGCTTCTGATAATTTTGATTTTCCTTTCATCGTTGTGCTGATCTTTCAGTGATAAAGGTGCACTTTGGTCGTCACAAGTCATAAAATAACAAACAAACCACCTACTGAAGATCCGAAAAACCTGAAAAGCGTCTGGCCAGGCTACCAGAACGATCGGAAATAGGTTTGATCATGAAGAGCCATACTTCGATACGTGAGATCCTCATGGAGTACTGGCAAGATAACAATGATTGAAAATGACCAAACTACAAAACGAACAGCGCTCTGTTTACAAAGGTTTTATAAAGGTTCCACAAGGTAGAATTTACACTTTCTTAGCGGAATCATCTTATAAATCAACGTTATTGCAGCCGTAAATAAGGCGGGACCGCTCATTAACATCACAATGTCTAGTTTTGCCCATTTTCTATCTCGGTTCTCTCACATAACAGCAAGCATTTCGGCGTAACTTATCCTCTTGAATTGCCGAACAACCAACAAAAAAAAAAGGTTTTCTTGATTGCCGCAAGAGTAAGTTATAAATCAAAAAACCTACAAACGTGGAGTGAACGGTTAAATTAAAAGTTAAGTTAAACCAAAGGTGTTCTATCATTTCTTTTGATAAACTTAAGATCAAAATATGTTTTAACTTTTATTTTCTCTTTGGGCTTGAATAAATAGGTTAAACATTGACATTATTTAAGTAGGTACATGGTTATGGTTAATATTGTTTGTAATATTTTTCTGTTAAATTCACCTCTTTTAATTACAAATTAACTCTTTTTAACATTAAATTAACCATTTTTAGCTTTAATTAACCATTTTTATCTTCAAATCAACTCTTTTTAATTTCATTAAATTAACCCTCTTTAACTTTAAATTAACAAATTTTAAATAATCAACTCTTTTTAATTTCAAATTTACCTTTTAACTGTAAATTAACCGGTTTTAATTTCCAACTTTTAATTTCTCCAAATTAACTTGTTGGTTATTGGTTACTGGTTAGTAACTTTAACTTTAAATTAACCCGTTTTAATTTCAATTCAACTCCTTCTAATTTCTTCAAATTAATATTTTTTACTTTAAATTAACCAGTAACCCTTTTTAATTGTAAATTAACCCATTTTAATTTCCAACTCCTGTTAATTTTTTTAAATTAACCTTTTTTTAACTTTAAATTAACCAGTAACCCTTTTTAACTGTAAATTAACCCGTTTTAATTTCAGTTCAACTTCTTCTAAATAATTTCTTCAAATTAATCTTTTTTAACTTTAAATTAACCAGTTTTAATTTCATTTCAACGCTTTCTAATTTCTTCAAATTAACGTTTTTTAATGTAAAATTTAAATCTACTCTTTTTAGTTTCAAATGAACCCTTTTTAATTTTAAATTAATAAGCATCAATTTCAAATCAACTCTTTTAATTTCTTATTAACCTTTTTAATTTCAAGTTTTCTAGTTTTAACTTCAAATTAACTTTTTTAATTTCAAATTAACCATTTTTATCATTAAATTAACCAGTTTTAACTTAAAATAATCTCTTTTTAAATTCCAACTAACCCTATTTTACTTTAAATGAACCATTATTAGCTTAGAATTAATCATTTCAGCTTCGAGTCAAGTCTTTTTCATTTCAAAATAATTCTTTTTAGCTTTGATTTAACAATTTTTAACTTCAAATGAACCAGTTTTAATTTCAAATTAACCCTTTCTTTAAATTATTAAAAAGTGCGGAATGCAGTTAAACATTACTAGGTGTACAATTGATGAATACAAAAAGGAGGGCTAAAAAAGATTAAATCTTTAATTTTATATAAGAATATATCAGATACGACTTCTTTAAAAGTATATTTTAAACTAGACCAGTAAGGAGAGCTCAAATTTATTCAAAAGAAGCCACAATTACATGCAAGTTTGCATAGATATTTAGACAAATAATAAATAAAATATTTTGTAGTAAAACATTTTTTTAAAGTAAAATAAAGTAAAGTAAAATCTAAAATTCATCCTGTTATTAAGTTAATGGATAAAATAGTTACGAGGTTACGGACACTTGAAGACTTTGTCATTGGAGGCCATGAGAATGAGAAAATGTCAATTAAATTATTAAAAATTCTTCGCTGTGTAAGATTGGTATAATTATGTTGTTTCATGACAATAATATTTCATAACTACTATTACTTATTGGAAGGAAAGGATAACGAGTGATCCTAAAAAGTCCTGCGTTATATCTGGCTATCTTTAATATATTTTCTAGTATTTTTAAAAGAAAATATCAAATTTAATATAAAGTTTTCAGTTAAGTTTTTTCGATTTTTAGTTTGGGCCCATGTCAGAAATTGACTGGTTTACATTATAACCTGCACTTTTCGAAAGTTCCTGCCGTTTTGTATAAATAAGACTGTATAAATTTATTTTTTCATCCTACGCTCGTTACCGCGTAGTGTAAAGCAGTAGAGGAGTCAGCAATGAGAGCAGACGGGCTTAATGATAACGAGGTCATCAAGAGAGCAACACAAACACCCTTCAGGAATTTCTCCCGCAATTTCAGTTAAATTTTGTGCGACTTAATCGAGAATCCAATTAAAAACCGCCCAACGAGAAATTTTCAACTAATTACACACAATTTGAATTTCACAGTTCATCTCTGAAAATTGAATTTTCTCGCAAGGGTTGACCTACATATGAGTCGGTTGTCGAATTTATAACTTCCACTTTCGACCTACTTCCCTTTTTCTGATCCTTCTTCTTTCTCTCTCAGGTTGTTAAATCAATAGCCACGACGGATGGTCAAATCGGCCTTCAACCGTCTAAACAGTCCCGCTTTGGCGAATTAAAATAAATAGTATTCCAGCATCAAAAGGCGAAGTCAACGGATAAAGTTAATACAAGATAAATTACAATTTATTTTTTTATAGAAGTAATAAATTTAATTCCCTAATTTCGTGGTCCGCTTGACCAATTAAATCATTACAATTAATTAAGGTTTTTAGTTGAGATGAAAAAAAGTTAATGGCACGAGAGGGATTCGAACCCACGACCTTCGGCTAGATACGCCGCTGCTCTAGCACCTGAGCTATCGTGAGCTCGATCCACTCGGACATCAACTCCCCATCTCAACCCCACCTTATGGGTTTTCCCTCCTTTTGCCATTTTTCATGGCAACCCCATTATGGTAGAGCAGCGGCGTATCTAGCCGAAGGTCGTGGGTTCGAATCCCTCTCGTGACATTAACTTTTTTTCATCTCAATTAAAAACCTTAATTAATTGTAATAAATTTAATATTTTTCAGATCAGTTACTTTATAAAATTGTTGTACTCTACTGAGATTAATACAATAATTGTTTCTTTGTGCCTAGATACTTGATGTACTATGTACCACATAACTGTATGGTCATCATGGAACTTCATAAAATATTGTGGAATATTGTCCTGAATGTTTAGAAACTTAACGCGTTTGGATCTCCTTGTCCAGATAGTCCCAATAGTAGTGCAAGTTTGGTTACGTCCACGTCCCTACCTAACATGATAAGGGAGGTCAGTGGATCACGTGAATATTACTAGTCATCCTTACCTTCTCGTTAAGTCTGAGAACCATTAAGGTGATCTAACTAAACTTTTCCTTTTTATAAGGTTCCATGATGACCATACAGTTATGTGGTACATAGTACATCAAGTATCTAGGCACAAAGAAGCAGTTATTTTATTAATCTCAGTAGAGTACAGCAATTTTATAAAGTAACTGATCTGAAAAATATTAAATTTATTTATTAGACCTTCCCCCTCGTTACATAATAACTACCTTCTATTCAAAATTGTACAGTGCACAATATGGACGGGTGTTATACCATAACCATCTTCCGCCTCCGGACAACCGGTTGAAATTAAAATTTATTAAATTATATACGATGGTATCTCGTTTGCATTTTGGGTAGGTATGTACACAACACACAAATGCACAAACACACAGTAGTAGACAAACAAATGCATGTCACAACATTGATTGTACGGTAAGCACTGCAGCCAGAGGACACATGCTATAACAAAACCAGCTAACGCTAGCGCATTATGAAGTATTAAAGGGCGAGGAGATATCGTAGTTTAAGGGAACGTATAACTAAGTGAAAACGGAACGCTTATTTGGGAAAAAGAACGCTGAGGTCGTAGTGGGTGGTTTGTATCGCCGTAAGGAACTTCGAGGACTTTTTGATAACAAGTATTGGATAAATTGGCTCGACAGAAATTCAGTTCTACTCCGTTGCCCAAAGTGCCAAAAGTCTTTGAAGTTGTCCAAGTCCTATGTTAAAGATGCCGTTAGTACAAAAAAAGTGGTGAAAACGCATTGGTAGACCAATTGACTGTTGGACGGAAAGATGTGCTCGGTAAGCACAAAACATTTGCCGTTAGGTAATATGCTTTTTTTACTTTTTGAAATATTGTTTTGGTATGCTGTTAGATGATGGTCAATACGCAGACGTAGATCTGTGGATTCAAACTTGACATACGTATGTACCAAATTGTTTATTTTTTATTACTTTATGTTGATGGTAGCTGTTAATTTGCATTGTTAACCTGATTGACACTAGATTATTCTAAGTCTGTCGTGGGATTCACTTAAACACGTTGCGGTATTACGACATCTTCAGTCAGGTACATTCTATAAGCTATAATTTAAAGGTAATAATCACAAAGAAGTGCCGTTGTGAACGAGTCTATGGGTGATCGAAACTAGATACTGAAGGGTAGGACCTTTCGGAATGAAAAGTACGCTAACAAATTCACAACCATCAGGTAACGTGCTGTTTGCTGTGCTCATGATGATGAGCTGTTAGGAGCTTGCAAGATGGTCAAAACGTAGTTGTGGCTCAACGCTGTTCAGGGCTTACAATTAAACATGCAAGTTTGATGTGTTAAAAATGTATTGACTTTCAGGTTTTTTCTGCCCTTAGGAATGATTATCTTGGACTTCTTTATACCGTGGGGAATATGAATGGTAGCAGAAGGGGGAGTCGGATTCCTTAAAAAAGAACTGAATTTGTTAGAGTTGATATGACAAATACTGTTATTAAGTACTGCTCCTGGAAGTCTAAACTTACACCCTATTGTGTTACAATAATAATGAAAAATCTGATGTGGTTTTTCCTCGAGGTTGTATCAATGGATTATCTCTGACGCGAAGTCTGCTGAGAAACAAGCACTCCCAAAGTGCCTATTGTCCAATCCGGCGTGTTCAAGGGCAATACGGGCAATTTGCGTCGAAATAGAATAAAGTTTTTATTTTTATTTTTTATTAATTTCCTTTGGGGGCAAATAGAAGCGGCGGGACCCGAAGGAGGGAATTCGGCACTGCGGAGGCTCCGTATTGATTTCCCCTCTGCGCAACGTGGGAGAGTAGGGAAGTGGAAGGAAGGACATGGAGGAAACGGGAGAACCAGGATCCCATCTTTCCCGTCGAATTTCCCATTTCCCGTCAAGTCCATAAAAAAAAAAAAATAAATAAAATAAAATAAAAAAAACTATCAAAGAAGATGTAGTGCAGCCGAGATTTATTTAAAACCTAAGGAAAGGACTTTCACATAATACGACATTAAATCATACAAATTTCATAGACACCCAAAATAAAAAATAAAAAATAAAAAAATTAAAATTGCAAAAAAGAGGACTAATAATTTATAAATAATGATAAGCAGTTTTGGGAAAGAATGTTTAAAATATTCCTGATAGTCTTAAATTTTAGTTTTTTATGGATTGTACAGTGTAATTTAGAAGAAGGGTAAAAGGTCAGAGAAAAATCAGAAATCCTGGTAGAACATGGAACAATTTTGATAATTTACTCTATAATGTGTATACTTAATCTTAAACTCAAAATTTTTAATGATTATATATTTATTTGCAAGAAGCTTAAATTAAATTATCATTTTATGTTCTCAAGAGATGCAAGGGTGAATTCTAGGGGTGAACGCATTGGACTCCCTCTGGTCATCATTGATAATGACAGTTCTTCCCCCCCCCCTCTCGACCCGTATAATCAAAATTGACCATTCGGAACAGTAAAAAAAGTCAAGGTCGCCCACAGGATAAATAATTAGTTGGAGGGGCGGAAATCGAACAGGGACGCATCGATTCCACCCCCGGGGGCGGACCAAAACAATTCCAGTCCGTTCCCAGATCCCGGAGAGTACACATCCTCGACTGTTTTCCCCTCAAGTTTCGATATATTCAAGGTATTTTCCTTGTTTTCAGCCTGCCCGAAGTTCTTGTTCGTAAACGTTGGAAAAGTTTTCATTTTCAGATTTTTGATTTGTACATTTTAAAGAAAAATGAAAATTTCAAAATGCAACATCAGGTCAAAGAACGCGACTCCATTCAGAGTGGCGCCGCTCATTCATGACCTTAAACTGACATCAGGGCTTCATGCACCCCTTACAGAATGTTTATAATTAATTAATTCTATTTTTTAATGAAAAATAACTTGTTTTAAAAAACATTCAAGTTAAAAATAAAAATCTTTGTTCATTTTTATGATTTTGAAGACCAGAAAAAAATTAAAAAATTATTTCTACTAAAAATGTGGACATTTGAAATGAAAAACTCTTCAACATATTGCAAATTTTGAAAAAAAAATCATAACTACCATCAAGCAATAATTTATATAAGCATGGAGGAACATCTTGAAATTATTTCACCCTTATATCGTACAATAAAACAAATTTTGAAATTTCTCCAAACTATATACAAATTAAATAAGTCATGCTCTTTTTCATAGTGGGAAAAAAAGCGAGGGCCGACGGATGCATGTCTAGATATCTGGGTAAGACAATGGGCAAATCGTTTGAGGTTCGTTTCTCGAAACTACAGCCGCGTAAAACTTCGCCTGCGACGACGACTTTAAGCATCAATACTTTTAACATTTTCTATTGTAAATTTACAATAATTGTTTAAAACTACAAAGAATTTCCATTTAAAAAAAATGACAGGATCCACCAAACCGCTCGGCGGGGCTTTTTAGAATTTTGAACGATTTAATTTGGTACATGTAAAACGTCACTCTCACTTGGGTCTCACCAATGGGGAGTCAAATTACAAAAGAAAATTTAATGAGCAATGCGAGGAATCGAACCCATGCCTGCTGCTCGATGTACCCGCGAATCGGATACAGATCTAGATCACTGGTTTTTTTAAAAATTGATTATTGAAAAGGAAGTTTAATACAATGATTAAAAAAATAGTGACTTAAGTGTGACTCGAGCGAAAGGAAGTCAAAAATTTGGCTTATAATTTTTAAGGATGTCCCTGGAATCCCAAGTGTCTGAGGAGGCGAGGGCGTCCAAGAAGCTCAACATCGAAAAGGCCGCTAATTTCATGCGTCAGTACCGCGACCCGGAGTCACGGGAGCTGAAAAAGCTCTCGGCGAACCAGTTCACTCAGGTTTGGGGCCATTACGACAAAGACGGTACGAAAAAGACTTTATTTTAAATTAAAAAAATCAACTGTAAAAATGACCGAATTTCATTGTTTTCAGGCAACGGCTATATCGAAGGCACCGAGCTTGACGGCTTCCTCCGAGAGTTTGTCTCTTCGGCCAACCCGGCGGACATCGGGCCCGAGGCAGTCTCGGACGCGATGCTCGAAGAGCTCAAAGCCTGCTTCATGGAAGCTTACGACGACAACCAGGACGGAAAAATCGACATCCGAGAGGTGAATATCGTGAAACACGATTGAAAAGTGTCCGGCCCACACAAAACACACTGAAGCCGCGTTTTTCCGTATCGATTTCGATGTATAAAAGCGACATCCTATTGACAAAATGAATAGAGACCCTTCTTCGAAGCGATTGAAGAAAGAGATAGATTATTGCGTTATAAATAAACAATCATATTTACCTTTCTAAGAAAAGAACCGAATAACAAAATTACAATAGAGGTCCACAGACGTCCCAACTACCACCCTCCTTGCATACAATATCGATGACCCAACTCATACGGTTTAACAACTAAATAAAAATATTTAACACTTGGAATACTTAGCTGAATGTTTTGAAATGAAAAATTTTGAATGAAAACTGTTTGAACAAAACATATCGCACTGCCGTTTTTGATATGACACTAATAGTCGATATATCGATATAATATGGCACAAATGTCTCCTGTAGAAAATAAAGCGCAGTAAAATCTCTTGTTAATATTTCACTGCTGAAAGAACGATTTTTTCCGACCTGATAACAATCAGATTGCCCGGACAAATCTGTATAATATACTGCGCCTTTTAAGAGCTGTTATATCCTTCGTTCTGTACTTTAAGCACACCGGTGAGTCTTAGTTCATCAAATAATTGATTAGTAGGCCCGGTTTCAGAGGTTGAAATTTTTCAACGGTTAAGTCCGAAAACACTTTCTCCTTTTTGTTAGTAGGTGTGTTGGCGTCTCCTCGGATTCTTTGCTGAATCTGCACATGCCATGTTGGGTTATACCAATCTTCTTCAGATTCCCATTCTGCCTGTCGTGTCCTGTAACGATGCTTTTTCCTGCTTCCTTTGATGCATTCTGTGGATTCTTTCCTTCCAAAATTCGCTAGAATGTTCTTGGATTGTTTATGTCCAATGAGTAAATTCCACTGTTTCCTCCTTTTTAATTGTCTTTTTTTCGAAGATACTCATTATGAATCCCTGAGGAGGACATATCGGCTGTATAGCAGTCCTTTTCTTTCCTTACAAAGGCGTAAGCTCTCTTTTTGCCCTCTCCTCCCATACAGGAGAGTGACTTTGTTTTGCATACCTAATCTATTTAGTTTAGTTTTGAAATTGAGCTAATGATGTTTGAACTTAGCGCTTTGATGGCTGCTTGTCTATCTCTGACATGTTAGCGATATTCTTGCTTTTGTACTCTTTATTCAAGTTGATCTAAGTACATCCCTAAAATGCATGGACTTCAGCCTGGATGGCATTGGCGTATTTTTCCATGTGTTCTGAGTATTGCATAGTTCGAAGGTGTACAGCGGTACACAACTACATTTAGCACGTGTTAAACTTATCGACGGTTGATCAGGATCATCTTCGCTGTACAGACAGACAGTCTCACAAAAAAACATACACACACCAACCGACAAACAGTATTAGTACTGCTACACAGCCTCCTCCCATCCTACCACATAACTAAAATACTCCACAGATATCACCCAAGCACTGAAGATGGCGAAATGCCTAAATGGGTCTAAGTTAACAAAATCAGCGAGGATAGGCGACCAGGGTGATAGGTAAGTATCAAAAAATAGGTTTATCACTCTGCAGACAGGAGGAATACTCACAGTTTAACATTTGTTCACCGCTTTCCAACAACAACCATCAACTTTTTAAACTAACACCTTGCAACCATCGCCAATGATTCAGCAGCTAAGACGGTACTCGAGTTTATTCGGGAGATCCACAGAGGCATATTTCGTAGCGTATACATTGGAGCTAAAACCAAAAAAACTATATTTCACATTCAAACTCAGAAGTAAATCTCTTGCTTACTTACGATAATATATATATTATATAAATAAGATATATAATATCTTACGATCTTCGTCGACTATTCAAATAAAAATCTCCTGTAACAATTAGCCTGCTTAAAAAATAAAATCATAAAATCCTTTTCTTCACCCTCCACTTCTATCTAGGAGAGTCTGACAGATCAAGATGTAAGTTGTATAATTTAAAATTTCAGGGGGATTTGGCGTGCCCATTTAGGTCCCGTTCTGCATTACAGCACACCGGTGAGCCCGAATTCATCAAGGAATTTGTCTATTTAGGTGTGTTTTATTAGTTGTATTTCTTCCACTGTTATGTTGTACACCAAAACCATTTCCTCGTGCGGTTCTTTAGCAGCAGTCCTTTAGTAGGAGCGATGGTGTCTCTTTTCTTCGTAGAATCTGCACGTATCTTATACTTTTTTTCGCCTCCTCCAGTATTACTGTATTTGTCATTTTTCTTATTCAGGAAATCCTCATCTCCCGACGATTCGTCCACTTTTCGAACGGGTCTAAGCTATTGGTCAATTCCACTTTTAAAGTCCAGGCTTTACATAGTAAAGAAATTAGATACCAGAACTAAGATCTTCGAAATTTGAGAATTTTTACTTTGTTTGAACATTTCTTACTTTGATCTCTCCATTTAAAGATTTAAAAATAATTACCTTTTATGTTTGCTTCCCGTTTAAATTTTTATTTAGCAATTGAAATTAATATAGATATCAGTGCTATTTAGAGTCACAACAAAGATCTTTCCAACGGTGATAAGATGCTTCCCTGCTAGCAGTATAGTTGTGGGCTATAAAAAATTAGGATTGACGAATGTGAAAAAGTCACATTTTGAAGCAAAGTTCCTATCCCTGATCTGACTACGTACACCACCCTGGAGGTTAACAAGGAACTGGAACTTCCAACCGAAAAGACAAAGCCTAAACAAAGATTCTGCCTACTTTACGATATGGCACGAACATTTTATGTAGAAATAATAAACTAGTGAACGAAACGTTACAGAATACAGTATTCAACATAAACGAAAACTCACTCTTTTTGTGGTCCGCTTGACCAATTAATATCATTCAATTAATTTAAGTTTTAAGTTGAGATAAAAAGTCAGTGTCACGAGCGGGATTCGAACCCACGACCTTCGGCTTGATACGCCGCTACTCTCTACTCTCTTTTTTTCTCAACTTAAAACCTTAATTAATTGAGTGATATTAATTCAAGAGGACCACGAAAAATATTGAATTTAATGAATTAAAATGAAGTAGACTTCACTAAAGCTCGCCGTGGCCATTTCAATTGTCGCCGAGAATCAAATAGATTACACGACATTTCAAAAATGGCAAAAAGGAGGAAGAATTCAAAAGGTGCGGTTGAGATGGGAAGTTGGTGCCCGAGGGTATCGAAGTCACGATAGCTCAAGTGGTAGAGCAGCTGCGTATTTAGCCGAAGGTCGTGGGTTCGAATCCTGCTCGTGACACTGACTTTTTTATCCAAAGTACCTAAAGTCCCCGATCAATGATGAATTATCCTTAATATGTTTGAATCCTCCGCAATGTCATTAGAAACTTTTTATTTTTTATCTTCACAATAAACCCACTAAAATTTTTAGAAATTTCACAATAAACTCTCTCCCAAATTGTTTCGTTCATGTCTTGTATCACAGAATTCACCGCTTTACCCTCATAAATGACATAAATAACTGTAATTATATTTTGATTTGAATATAAAAAAAATATAAAAACTAAATGGAAAGTAGCGATTTGTGTTAATAAAAGTTTAAAGAGGAGGCCAGAAAATTTCAATTTCTACGCTGGGAATCAACTCAGCACTTCTAGGTGACAACAACAAACCCTGTTACAGAGAACGCCCGGCTTCCTCTAAAAAAAGTTTTAAAAAGGGACAAAATAATTGTTATTTAAAATAAAACAAAATCATGTTTGCTTTTTCTTGATTTGTTTTCTGTATCAACGAGTCTGATCATAACTCCTGATAATCATGAATTAGAAAAGCCAGTGTAATTTCTATTTTATTTTTCTTCTTTCAGCTCGCTCAACTTTTGCCCATGGAGGAAAATTTTCTCGTACTCTTCAGGTTTGACAACCCTTTGGAATCCAGCGTGGAATTCATGAAGGTAAGTTGCAATAAACAAAAAAAAATTTTTTTTTTGTAAACCTGTTTAACCACGTAGATTATCTTCTATCAATGCAAAGTAAGACGATAAAAATGATAACGCTGGGGGCCGTTATTCATGCATATAAGCTATGGGTCTACGGCCTTTAAATTTGCCAAATGGCCGGTAATAAAGGCTGACATTCATGGTACAGCTCATTTTAAAAGCTTTTAATAAAAATGGATATCATCTATTGATTTTACATTATTAATATCATACAAGAACAGTAATCAGTAGGCATTTTTTAATATTTATATATATAAATATATTTATTATTATAACATTTACAGTAGCTCTGTTTTCGTGAACTCAGAACTTTATTAGATATAATAATTTTGAAATAATAGATTTTTTTAAATAAATTATAGTATTGGGTGTTAATTGTATTCCATTCTAGATCTGGAGGGAGTACGATTCAGACGGCAGCGGGTACATCGAAGCGGATGAACTTAAGGTGCTTTAATCTCAAAATCCCAAATGTACCCAAACCCTGAAATGAAATAATTGTAAACGGTTTGCCGGCAGAATTTTCTCAGAGACCTGCTCAAGGAGGCTAAAGTCAACGACGTGTCTGAGGACAAGCTCATCGAGTACACCGACACGATGGTAAGCCGGCTTTTCTAACAATTGGATCGATCATAAAGTAATCCTGTAGTATAAAATAATTAATTATTTTTATCCGTGTGTTGTTGTTGTTTTTCTCGTCGGATTACGCAATCGTTGAAAGAACTCTTCCACTTTTGATCTTAATTGGCAATAAAATTAATAAAACATTTGTCAATACTTAATCTTTTATGTAAGGTTTTTGGCCAAAATGAAAAAGTTAGTGTCACGAGAGGTATTCGAACCCACGACCTTTGGCTCACTAGAACTCTGCTCTTACCACTTGTCACGATAGGTCAAGTGGTTAGAGCAGAGGCGTATTGAGCAGAAGGTTGTGGGTTCGAATCCCGCTCGTGACAATAACTTTTTCATTTTGGCCAAAAACCTTACATAAAAGATTAATTAATTGAATGAAGTAATTTGGTCAATAGATCACTAAATTGACTTGTCAATACATTGTATTACATATTTTTGGACAGACAGTTGACGTAAAACGAGAGGAATGATTACGGATATTTTGTGACATTAGACAAACCAATAAAGTTATACCTAATTTTATTTTTACATTGACCGATTTTCATTATTTTTAGTGTTTTTTTAGGTAATTAATTAATTTGTTTGTTAGATGTGGTTCGTGCCATACCTATCTGGTTTTGTCTCTCAGTCTCAGTCTCTCTCTCTCTCTCTCTCTCTTCCAATCAAAATACGTCAGAAGGCGATGATGATGTCGATCATAACTGACAACACTGTAATTTATTTTTTTGAGTACTCTCTCTCTCCCTCACTTTCTAGATTTCTTGCTCTCTCCATCATTTTATGTATTTCCTTCATTTCCTAGCTTTTTCACTCTCTCTCTCTCTCTCTCTCTCTCTCTATCTCTTTCTCTCTGGCCATTTCTTCTCTCACTCCATCTCGTCTGTTTTCTCTCTCACTTTGTTGCTTTCATTTTCTCTCTCTCCCTTTCTCTCTGCCCCTTTCTACTCTCACTCCTTCTCTCTTGTCTCTCTCTCTTTCTCTCTCCAATCAAAATATGCCAGAAGGCGATGTTGATGTCGATCATAACTGACAACAGTATACATTTTTAGTTATTTTTGAGGACTTTCCCTATCTCCCCCACTTACTATATTTCATGCTCTCTCTATAATTTGCTATATTTCTTTCTCTCCCTAGCATTTTCTACCCTTTTCACTCACTCTCTCTCTCGCTCTCTGTCACTCTGTAGCTTTAATTTTGTCTCTTGCCATTTCCTTTCTCACTCATTCTCTCTAGTCCTCCCTCCTTCTCTCTCTCTCTCTCTCTCTCTCTCTCTCTCTCTCTCTCTCACTCTCTCTCTTCCACCAATCCAAATTTGCCAGGAGGTGATGTTGACCATAAATGACAACACTATATTTTTTGTTATTTTAGAGTACTTTCCCTCTACCTCATTGTGTATACTTTTTCTCTCTATAGTATTTTCTATCTTTTTCATTCTCTCTCTCGCTCTCTTGGATAGCCTAAGAAGCACACATTCACTCGTATATTAATTATGAGATGAACAAAACAATATTACAAGTTTAATAAATACAATAACAGTTATGAACATTAAAAGATTCATATAAGAAGGACAAACGACGAATATCTGATTAAACTATATTTTACTGCCGATTTAAGGCACTGTTTTTCAGTTTTACCATAGCCGAGATATACGAAAAAACGAAGGCTTCTCCTTGTTTTACGTGTGGTGATGAATCTGAAATTCAGTCGTTACCCATCATCCTAGCCTGCCATTTTCATCGTTGGGTGTGGGTCTCAAAACGAATTAATAATAATTCAATCTCTGGAAACAGCCGAAATAACATTTGGAAAAAAATCACATCTTCCGTTTTGATGAAGCTAACATCCTAAATGAACTAAAGTAAAAAATGGATAATTGTTCGGTATATCGCAAAAGCTGTGATGTTCAACGACCGTTGGTTCAATAAGTGGTTGAAATAGTGAGTAGTTTCACAATTTCACAACATATACACTTAACTACAGGAACAACACTACACTTTATGCCTGGAAGATGACCCTGATAAAGTTCGAAACGTCGTTAATCAAATGAAAATGGTGTTTTTCTGATGTACATCTACATACCTCACTATTTCAACTTTTTTTATATTTTTTTTATTAATAAGTGAAATACACACTGAAGATGAAGAAATGCAGAAACGGTCTAACATACCGACACAACGAGGATAAATAGTCTGACCTAATGACCTAATTTCATATATAATTTTCAACAAAATAAATAAAATACTATAATTTTATACAAGATTTCAGCCTGTATGTCAAAGCCATAGACTTATTGATTTAATAGTTACAATAATAATTCATGAATTCATAACTCTAAAATAAATAAAAAGATAATAAAAATGCAGCGAGTCAATCGTGACTTTAATTTTCAATTTAAAGCCGGTTTGTTATGCTGTATTTTTTGACAAAAACTTTGATTTTGATATTATCCTTTATTGCCTCATATATTCTTGGGGAGTTTTATCTATATTATAGTTATTATGCAAAAAAACTTACCTCTGATCCCGTTTTTTCTTCTGATTAGCTTCGATCAAACGTTTTTAATCCTCACTCGCACAACACTTCACTCCACCGCATCAACTTCGTGTTTGACAAGTTTTCTCTTTCCTTAAAATAAGACATCCGGGTGGGGAAAATAATCGTGTCCCACCTTGCAGATAATGAGAATTAAAACTAACATTTCAGTGAAAGTGTGTAAAAACAAAAAAGGGGATAATTGGTCAAAAAAATCGTTTAGAAAATTTTTTTAAATTGGCATTAGAGGTCGAGTTAATAAAGGAATAAATGATTTTCCGATCAAATCAATAATTTTATTTTTTCTACTTTAGAATGTATACCCAAGATTTTTGAATTTTTATTTCTTTTACAGCTTCAAGTTTTCGACGCCAACAAAGATGGAAGACTTCAGTTATCCGAAATGGCAAAGTATGACAATGTAACATTTGTATTTTTTTATGCTTCTTTTTCGATTTTCAACTTGATTCTTTCAGATAATTTCAAAACGGGTAAAACTATATAATGAAAATAACGAATAAATAGTAACTAAATTGTAATAGTAATAATAGATGATGAAAATTACTAATTTGACTTGGTTTTACGCGAATATATTAAATTGGGTTGTTGGGAAAATAATGCAGGATTTAACAACCGATCGAGAATTGGCAGAGGATCTTTCAGTTGGAAAATCGACCGTCACTGGCCACCTTAAGTCAATGGAAAAGTGTAAAAGCTCGAAAAGTTCCTCGTGCATTAAACGACCGTCGTGAAAATCATCATCGTTGTTGCCCAACACTTCTTTGCCGAAACAGAAACGAACCTTTTCTAGATAGAATTGTTGAGATGAAAAGTGGATTTCAAACGTTCTGGACAGTGGCTCGACAAAGCAGCCACATTTTCCAAGCCACCAACCCATCAAAAAGAGGAAAAGGTGACTCTTTGGTGGGCTTCATTTGCGCTGATTGGCGGACTGAATTCTGGCGAATGTACTGCTCACAAATTGAAGCAATGCACCACAAAATTGGCACTGTTGATGTCATATTTGGTCAATCGGAAAAAGCCGATTCTGTTACACAACGCTCGGTTCCACATCTCACATGTGACAACACGAAAACTGTTGAATTTTGGTTATGAGGTTCCATCAAAAATTTATTTATCAAAAGTCGTTAGAAAATGCATTTACATAATTTGTTAATAAGAAAGACCAAAAATTCTAATCAGAATGTATAGAGAAGTAGCCATCATATTGGGAAAAGTGTATTGAGAGTGATGGAGGGTATATCAATTAATAAAAACATGTTTAAAATCATTTATTTAATTGTTTTTATTTTATCTGCATGGAAAATCTGCATTATTTTCCGGACAACTCAAACGAGAGCTTGCTTTCATAAAGTTGATAATAATTAAACGTTCATTTTTTTTAAATTATATAAATCATAAGAGCAGTTCTCACGTCATAGACGGATTACGTATTTGATCCTCCAGGATCCTTGAAAATGTGTTCAATTAATTACGCTAAATTTGCAATTTGCCTTGCTCTTCAACGTTTATCTCGAAACGGTGAAAATATTTCAAAAATTATGCATAAAATGGCGTTGAACTCTGTTTATTCCGTCTTCATTTTACGGAGAGATTTCTTAATTTTTGTATAAGAATTTTATTTCATTTTTGTTTATATAATTGTAGACTGCTCCCGGTGAAAGAGAACTTTCTCACGAGGCAGATATTTAAAGTAAGTTTTGACACCGCATTTTAAACATAATTTATTTACAAGATTTAAGATAAGATTCTAACACAAAAACTCAATATAAGTCTTATAAAAAATAATTATTACTTTTGTATTATACACAGTTTAAAAAATGTCAATATAAATTAGCTAATTGGTCAGGTCTGTAATCAATTTTATAATACTGTTTTTAATTTTGATAATTAGTCAATTATTTATTAATATTGCTAATCAATAATGATAGTCAAATAGGAAAATATGTAGACATATTTATTAAAAACTCAATTATTAATTTTATTACACTGTTATGAATGATAATGCTTTATATTCTTTGCTCGCTTTTCTCTTTCTGCCTGCTGTTGTCTGTCTTTTCTGTAATCTGTCTCTCCTACTAATCTTGTCTCCACTTTGTTTTGTCTTGTCTATTTCTTTTATTAATAAGGAAATCACGTCGGAGGTGAGTGTAAACGTATTAATTTCAAGTATATTTTGTTGGCTGGATGTGACTGTTTGACTGAGTGAGAAAAAGTGTACGGGATACATCTGCACGCATTTAGAAGAAGCAGTCCCAGTAGTTTAGTCGTAGGTAAACAAGACACGAAACTCTTCGTTTTCGGAAGCACTTTATTTAGAAAAGAAAAGTAGATTTAGACGTGTAGGGAATGTTTGAGTTAAAATCGATTCTTTTTTTTCACCCCAATGCTTTCCAAAGGGAGCGACAAAACTGACGAAGGAAGACATTGAAAAAGTCTTCTCCCTCTACGACAGGGTATAACCAAATATAACCAAAATGTTCTTTATAGGAAAAAAAATATATCGAAAATTTTACAGGATAACAACGGCACGATTGAAAACGAGGAGTTGAGGGGCTTTCTTAAAGATCTTCTGGAGCTGGTGAAAAAGGTCTGATATTGTTTCTTATAATAGAATAGTAAATAGTAGAATAAATAGAATAGTTTTATTTATAAATATAAATGTTAGGATTTTATTTGTGAAGTGGAAAAGAAATGGAGCAAGGAAATTTTTAATAATCGTCGGGGAGAAAATCATACAACTACTAAAAGCTCGACTTACACTTGGAACATGGAATTTGAATAAATGATATACATACTCTCAAAGACGAAAACTCGTTCACTCGCATTTTGTTAGTTATTTCAAACTATATTAGATGTGACTACGCATAGGTCATACAAGAATAGCGCACGGGGATCTTTTGGCCAGAAAGCGGCCGCGTAGGTTTTGCGCGGATAAAATAATGGTCGAGCACCTTTTCAATTTACAATTCAAGGCTTCACTTTACAATGCATTTTTGGCATATCATCGGACTTGTGCGCAGTCTTGGGGCACTACGATAAGCACAGATCGCGTTTCTGATTTTTATATGTATACAGTGTTTATGTGTGTCTGTATTGTGTCTATGTTATTTTATTGGAATGAATGTAATTTATTAGCGTGAAAGGAAGGGGTTGCTTACAACCGCCCCGAGGAATATCATGTACTCTGAGTGAGTCAATGTGACCTGACTTCTATTTTTTTGGTAATACAATTAATTAAGGTTTTTAGTTGAGATAAAAAAGTCAATGGCACGAGCGGTGGTGTTGTGATGGGAAGTTAGTGTCCAAGTGATTTCGAAGTCACGATAGCTCAAGTGGTAGAGTAGCGGCGTATCTAGCCGAAGGTCGTGGGTTCGAATCCCGCTCGTGCCATTGACTTTTTTATCTCAACTAAAAACCTTAATTAATTGTACTATATTAATTGGTCAAGCGGACCACGAAATTAGTGAATTTTTTGGTAATGTTTATATGTGTATAGAATGTTTTGTGCCTATTCTATAATTGGCAATATGTGGTACAAAGTACAAAAAATGTAGTGTTTCGGTGTGTGTTGTATTTATGTTATTTATTGAAATGGATGTAATTTACTAGCGCGAAAGGAAGTGGTGTTTAACCCCGCCCCGACTAATATCGAGAATTCTAGGGTGGGTGTGTGTCGGTCTGGAAAATAAAAATAAGTTATTAGCGAGAATGGAGTGGGTTTAACCCCGCCAAAAGAAATACGGAATACTCCGGAGTAGTGAATGTAACCAGACTACGTTTTGCGTCCATTCTGCAGTTCAAAACCTGACGTACAAACGGATATCGACTTGGTCTACGTATAAAAACGGAAAGTTAACAAAATTCTCGTAAAAGTCCAGAAAAAATGAGAAAACACGCAGAGGGCCGGCGATGACCTCAGCTCGCTGTCAACCCATAAACATCATATTATATCTATATGTATTTCTATCGTTACATTAATTACAACATACACATTTTAATGAAAAGCAAATTAACATGAATCAAATATTCATGAGTTTTAATAAAAAATTTATTATGGTGGTTTCAAAGGAAATTCAACAAAACACATGAAAATCATATAATGATACATTAAAATTTAACTAACATTGCTCTTGATAACGCGTATTGCCTCCTTTCGCCTTGCAGTGGGACTTCAGTCTCGTAGGCATTGAATAAATAAGCGATCTGCTTTCGTCTTGTGAAACAGAATTGCATTTTTTAACAAGAGCTTTGATTTGAATCTGTTCAAAGCTTGCTGGAGGCGGCGAACGATGTCTAACCCGTCTCTTTATCATGTCCCATAAATGTTCTATACGATTCATGTCAAGAGAACGTGCTGGCCAATTTAATCCCTTCATCCTCCAAGTAATGTGTGACAATTCCGTCGAGCATTATCATGCATTAAGACGAAGTTGCCCCAATATAAGGGCCACAGCTAGAAGAACATGCTCAATGTATCTCAGTGCTAGAGACATTATAGATACAAAATACGTTATATACGATAATCAGTTCGGTACGGGTTTTGATTCCACTCCATATCATGACTATGAAACGGCCACAGAACAAACCAGCATTCATCTCTGAAGAGAACAACCCTCTATTTTTTCAAATCTCAAAGCGAGATGCTGATTTGAGTCGCCTTTCTAGAGCCTTGGCTGTCACGACGTCTTCTGATTACTGTTTTAAAACTCAACCTTACATTTCGGACCGTTTGGAGTTGGCTGTCTATCAAGGACGGTAAATGACGGTTCCTTAGTGCGGTAAGAGCAATGAAAGGTCCGCAGTCTCTAGCAGTCGTATATCGCGGTCGACCATTACCTTCGATCTGTAGACCATCGTGGATGGTAGAGCGCGGCATACCCATATAACGCATCTGACCGGGAAAGATCTCTATAAAACCAAGCTTTAAAAAAAATTAATAATTAATTTTTAACAATTTTAAAAACCAATGAAATCATAACTTGACATGTTGGTGTCAGGAACGGATGAAATTGAACTGAGCGCACACCCAAGACTATGTCCGTCGTCGGCCAAGGCATCTACCCAAGCGAGATCTCGACATAAAACCATGCTTTTAAGAAGAATAAACTTAATATTTAATGTTTAACTCAAATTTATTGTTTCATCAAAGAAGATAATTTTAAAAACCAATGAAATCATTCGACAAGTTGTCTCTCGAAACGATGAAATTGAGTAGATGATATTCTTTATTTTTAATCTAAAGAGTGTAAATAGGATAAGTAACACTCTAATATATATATATATA